ATCGTTTTATACAGAGTAAGAAGCGAAAAGAGGAACTTTATGTTGGTGAGAATACATATAGATGATATATTTTGTGACATCGCCGTTCAACTGTGACTGATATGTAATCGTTTAGTTAAAGAACTATCACTTTGAAATTGTAGGATTTAGTTTTTTTGTCTTCATGTAATGAAATCTATATTGTCTATGTATGTGTGTGGAAACAAGGTTTGAATAATTGAGACAGTACATATTGGCAGGGGTCTGAAGGTCAACAATTTGAGAGTGTAAAGGTTTTTTCCAACAAAATCTTGCAGAAAAGCGTAAAATATAGACTGAGTCAGATATGATCACTAAGAAACACTAAAAAGTTTTGGTTATTGAAAATGTACACCCCGCTTTCACAATCACAGGATGCCGGACCAACACCTTATGGGAAAGAAATTTATTTTATTTTAGAATTTTAATATAACCTTCAAGATTATGTTTCTATCATAGAAATACATTCATTGATTGATTACTTCTTTTGAGACAATGACTCTTGTAAATAGAAAAATAATTCTAGCACCATAGTTTGTTTTGAAAGAGTATTCTCATTCATTTTTTTTTACAGATTATGAGAGATGTTTATAAGTGCTACTATCGTATATGAAGATATTCTAGATGCCAATTGGCATGGGGGCAAACTGCAGACCAGCTAGCATAACTCATACATTTCTAATTTGAAAGAAAATAATTTTTATCGGCTTTGCTAATGTGTAGACTTCAATATGAAATTTTATTTTGATTGACGAGAGGTTGTTGATTTACTCATTTAAAATGTTAGATTGATTATTCATTACATTCTAACATTTCGTCTATCTATACGATTACATGAAGTACTCTTCAAACAACCAATAAAAGAAAAGAGACCTTGAGCAATAGCGATGACACATTGCGCAATTACATGTTGCTATTTTTTAATAATACAACAAATAATAAATATACTACATTTGTTTAATATAGTTTCTATGAGAAAAGACACGTGTAAAATGTTGTCTACTTTTGAAAGTTTACCCGATGAAATAATAATGACAATTGTAAAATATTGTGGTGATACTTGTGCAATATTACGAACATTTCTTGGTCTTAATCAACGTTTGAATAGGATTCTTATTGATAAACGTTTACATTTATTAACTGATTTTTTACATATTAATGTACGAGATGATTACTATAATTCTCAAGTATTTCAACAATCATATCAACAACTATTATCTTTAAATACAAGAATCGATGAACAAGAACTTTCTTTAATTCTACAAAGATTACTTAGTTTTCATATTCAACAAAAATATATACAACTACGACATGAATTTCAATTATTACAAGAAAAATTTGAATTAACTCGCCAATCATTTACCCATAGTGATATTACTCAATTAGATAATGAATTAAAACGAACATTTGATAGTTTCTCCCAAAATCAGACATCGACAAATTCTATTGAACTCATAAAATCACTTGTTTATACAAAAGGTGCTCGTTGTGACTGTGATGATTATGAATTATGCAGATATAATCTTACTAAAATTGTAAATGAACACGTTCTTAGTCTTGTTAACAACCTTTCATATCAATCTCTAATATCAGCGAATTCATATTTCGAACTATTCAAAGCGTTACTTATTTCCAACAGTTCTCTCATCAACAATAGAGATTATGTTGGTAATGGTGGCTGTAAACTTGCTTTTTTTCTTGTTTATACGCTTTATAAATTACAATATTTTTATCATGGCATATATCCAGGACCTGTGAATATGAAATGTTATCGTGTTTTAGTCGATATATTTCTTCTTGTTATACAATGTCAAAAACGAATCGTCGACAATGAAGGTAGCATTCGACGAACTATGCTTGATATTTTAAAAATGATTTGCCAAATAAATAATGATATATCTATTCAAGTTATTCAATGGGAACTATTGAAAATAGTGATTGATGAATATGTTACTATAGCCAATGAACCATTGGACGAGTTTTTAACGTATGAATTTAGAGATGTATTCAAAAATCTATTTAAGAATAGACGATTAGATGTTCTAAGTCATCTTTATCGTGATGTTCAATTTGAACAATTCTTTAATATAGGAAATTATACTCGAGAATATCTTGATATAATGACTAGAAGTCAAGATGGAAGAAAATTGTTTTATAAGATGCTAGATGATAATTTATTGGAATCAATATTTTCGGAAAAAAAATTGATATTTATTTTATTGGATAAAAAAGAGCGAAAACTATTAGAAAAACTATTAAAATCATCACCACATCTTATTCATCAATTGGATGAAGATGGTAATGATCCGCTACTTTATATATGCATTAAAGTTTACGGCTGTCGACATCGTATTATTCAAGATTTAATCAAAAGTGGAGCTGATCTTCAAAGAACGAATTTTAAAGGACAAAATTTTATCGATACATTACAATTACAAAAAAATCGAAAACTATTCAAAAAATTAATTGAACACGAAATCATATCTTTCGATGAACAGCAAATTAATCTTGTTAAAAATTTTGATGAAAATTCATAATAAAAAGAATACAGATATGAGAGTTTTATCTAATGTGAAAGATACATCTTTTATTCAACGATTGCACTGAACTTCACGTATTTTCTATCTATTCTACTATTGAATATGCTTCCAATGGAGACTGTTTCATCATAATTTATTTATATCCTATATGTCATACATAGCAGATTTGTCTCATGATTATACATTCAGATAGAAAGCAAAGAAATGCATTGCAAGATTTTTAATTTTTTAAACAGTCACGTTGTTGAAATTAAAGACCAATGGCATTATTTGATGAGATTCAATGTCTCTACATTGGGAAAATAAGATCGCCTGTGATACTCAATTTTTGAATGGTATATCATGCAAAACAAAATGATTCATCGAAGCATCTAGTTTATAACAACGAATTGCGTTTTATTGAATTTATTAGGAGCCCAGCTGGTACTATTTTTTTTTATGATAACTTATTTCTTCTTGCTTGATTTATTTGATTTTAAATACAACAAAGCTATGTCAACAGATACATCAACTCTTGTTGTTATTGGTAGTCTCAGTATTCTTTCTATTCTTCTTTTTCTTTTATTTAAAAATAAAAATCAATCGAACAATTCTGGAGACAATAATCGAAAAAATGTAATTATCGCATTAAAAACTCCCGATATTAAATATCAATTTCCGTTGGTTCACAAAGAAAAAATATCTCATGATACATGTCGTTTCCGTTTTGAACTTCCATCATCGAAACATGTACTTGGTTTACCTATCGGCCGACATGTTTATTTAACAGCATATGTTAATGGTGAACTAGTTAAACGACCCTATACTCCTGTGACATCAGATGATAGTCAAGGTTATTTTGATCTTGTTATTAAGATCTATCCAGATGGTAAAATGACACAATATCTTGATAAACTTCCAATGAATCATATTGTTGAAGTAAGTGGTCCATCAGGAAATCTTACTTATAAGCAAAATGGTCTATTTGATATACGCACACGTAAACCTGAACCCAATCTAGTGCGGCATGCTCGTCATATTGGTTTAATTGCTGGTGGTTCAGGTATAACACCAGTGTATCAACTATTGAAAGCATTATTAAAAGAACAAGCATCGAATGCACATAATCAACATGGTGATATTAAAATTTGGCTTTTATTTGCCAATCAAACCGAACAAGATATTTTATTACGCGATGATTTAGAACAATTAGCTCATTTGAATGCTGATCAATTTAAACTATGGTACACGATTGACCGTGAAAGTGAACAATGGCATTATTCAAAAGGCTTTATCAATGAAACAATGTTGAAAGAACATATGCCGCCGCCATCTGACGATGTTTTAATATGCATATGTGGTCCACCACCGATGGTTAAATCTGCATGTTTACCAAATTTACATAAATTAGGTTATGAAGAAAATATGATATATTGCTTTTAATACAGATCTAGGGTATGGCTTTTTGCATATTTGGTAATTTTGCTTTTGATTTTCTTTCGATCTGAAAAATAAAGTGTAGAAGGGTAGAAGGGAAGAAGAATGTTTTATTTTCATTTAGTCAATATTTGTTTAGTTTGATCATTTTTTGATACTCCACATTTCTTGATATTCGATCAGTGAAAATGGGCTCATTTACTTGTTGAAACTAAATAGTGGTATCTTCATACAATGACTCAATAGATAAATTCATTAAGAAAGTAATTTTCTCCGTCTAGCAAAGGGCTTCTGATGGACCGCTGATCAAATTTGAATTAGCAACTGTATGGCTCACTAAGTCATTCATGATTAACGATAAATGAAATACGGATCGACCTAGATGACAGAAATTGTAACTTTTCTTATTTCATTCGTTCATATGATTGAGTAATATCTTCGCATATGTTTTATAAATCAATACCAACTCAAGACTTCCCGAGAGCCATCTTACACTTGGTAATATACCATTTTTTTTACCATTACGAAATAGATCGTCACTGTTAGCATCTATTAGTAAACTTTCCTAGATTCAATTAAAAATATAATTCAACTTTAGATAAAGAAACACAAATAATGCACATATGATTTTCTCTGTGACAGAACCGCGTCTCTTTCTACGCTCTTTATCATACGCATAGTTTCTGCCTGTATAAACTATGAATAAAAACAGTCTATCATTCTTTAGGAAGACCAATTGATATACAATCATATAGTATCGATATTTTCAATGTCAGTTTCTTGAAACCACAGTTGTTTTGACTCTAAACTTGAATATTACAATACTCTTCATTATTCACTGTACATTGATTTTGAAAAACCAGATCGTATAAATGACATATCTGACTGTGATATAATAAGAAAAGCTACTAAATTAATAGCTTATATATGAGCACAAATCGAACTGTTCACATTTTATGCGAAAAAACGCAGGTAAAACTAGAGAACAGACGTGAATGTGGAAACCACTGAGAAGAGTAATGGACTCCTCCACACCCAAGCAAATCAATTACATTTATGTCCATCGTTTTGTCAAGTTGCCTATCAATTATTTTTTTTATAAATAACAAAATAAATAGAAACATACAGTAAATACTATTGACGAGTTTCTATTTTGAAAATCAAGCGATTATGCTTTATTCCATGTTTCTTATGTTATCATAACACGATAGGCCTGCTTTACTATGGTACTCGAAGTATCGTTGCTTGGTGATACTACATGCATGTAATCCTCCAATGCAGAACCAACTGTATTGAACCACTCCGTTCAAACTGACTGAATAAGTTATCGGTGCCCAGGAGTTCGATCCGGCTTCAACTAGCACACTAACAGATCAAAACTTTGATTCATCCAATCTATATGCAAATTTTGCAAGGACTGGTGCTCCCCGCTCCTAAATAACCTCTGTATAGCTTGCTTTCCAATTGAGTTGTTTTTGATGATAAAGTATACACGCTTATAGAGCTAATGTTTTCAGCAATACTAACATGAAAACCTATGATAAATGCAAAGCACAAAAATATTATAGAATTAAGTATTCATAAACAGATTTCAGAGCCTCTATTTTCATCTATCTATGGTCAAACGATTACATATCATTGAATTAATGCGATCACTTACAAACTAATCCAATGAGACCAATGCAAATAAAAATGAGTTTCATCGTTAGCAATGGGTTTGGTTTTCACTTCTCTGACACATGTAAAAAGAAAAATAGTGTCTGTTTTACTGGTGTTTAGTCAGCTTTTAAATATCCTTCGAATTCCAAAGGCACATATCGATTCGTTTCCTGGATTTATACAACATTATGCCGTCATTCACAGCATTGCTCATGCCGATTGCACACATCACATTACATGTCGCTTGAGTGATATCATAACATCACTTGCATCAACAGTTCTTGAAAAATTCAATGTTTCTTCCTCCTGAATCATTCCCTCCAATCCGCTCACTTTCATACTCTGAATACAATCTGTATAATTATTCATATTTCAATCAATGTTCTACTAATTAGTGATGAAAATTGGCAAGCAAATATTCAGAGAATCACTTTCCATTTCTCAATTGTAGGCGAGCCGCATCCAATTAGAATTTTTCTATGTTTCGCTTGATTGACTAGTAGTATAAAATGCAAGAGAGATGCGACGGCAATGAAAATTTCCTTCGTTACATTTCTCAAGCGATAATTATTTTTTCTGGTCAATGAATTCGGCAGTGAAGTTTGCATTCTTATGTGTTTCGGTCGCTTTACTTTGCAACAGTGTTCAATCGCGTTCACTTCGTCAGTTTGCATCGAAACGTGAAGAAGAAAAAAATCCTCTATGTGAGCTTGTCATTGCAATTATGGATGGAGTCATCAGTGGCGCAAATCTTGACTTAACGCCTGAACAAGAAGCTTTATTACCAAACCACGGCAGTAAACGTGAAGAGGCTGCTGAGGAATGCAAAAGCGAACAAGAAGAGTGGTTAAATTCAATGAAACCTTTTCTAAGTTCATTATCTGAAGAACAACAACAAAAACTGGAAGATGCATTTAAAATATTTGCAGAAGATGCCAGCAAAACAGAACGTGGACTTTCATTCGCTAAAGGACTATTCAAACGAACAATGAACAATCAACGAAGATTTTTTAAGCAGTATAGATATTAATGATAAAAAGTTTATATTTAACCACAAACAAGCTTTTTATCGTAAACTAGCATCAATACGTTTTAATAATAGACTGTTATCTTTTCATATTTTAGTTGGTGATGGGCTAAATTAGAGTTTTATGCAATTTTCTTTTGGTTTTTAAAATAGAGTGTGACGTGACCTTAAATATCAATTATATTCTTTTTTTTTTCTACTTTCAATCATTTATGGTAAATAAATCCGACATTTCAATCATACGCATGTTAGTTATTAGGTTTGATTGCATTTATGTGTAGTTCCACGTCAATGATTCCGGAGGACGGATACCGTAGGAGCCGGCAGGAAAGATGCGAAAAACTCACCGTATCTGAGCGAAAAGCACGGGAAAGCGCTGGAAAGTGGAAGCAGTATTCCGGTTGGAAGTTACCGGATTTTTTTCCTTTGGATTCTGGTCAGTTTTCTGTGTTTTCCAGCTGGAAGTTGACCGGAATCCACAGGAAAAAAATCCGCTAATTTCTGACTGAAATACTGCTTCCACTTTCCAGCGCTTTCCCGTCGTACGATCACGGCCTGGGGTAGTACCATTGTTCACTTTGGTTGCATTGGCACTAGAACTGTAAAGAATAAACGTACAATGAGGAATTGAGTCTCAAACACAAGCAGAGACAGTCATTCATACGCTTCTTTTATTTAATATCGAAATTTTCGGTTTCGTTTATTTTTGATAGATGCCTATTACCTATTTCACGCAATTTTGATTGAGTTACTGATTGTTTTTTTTGTTTGCAAACGTTTCCTTGCCGGTCGTGTGGGCAGATTATGTATATATGAATAACAAGAGCACGCATTCAATGAGTGATATCAATGTTGTCCACTGACTATTAGTCAGCATGGGCACAAACAGACGATATGCATCATTCAGGCTGGTAATTTTGAATGAGAAATATAATAGATACTCTACAAGGATTAAACCAGATTTATCTGAGCTACAATGAGAAGAAGAGCAGAAAAAGACGAAAGTGTAAGAGTTAGTTGTGTTGTGAAGCAATTCAGAAATGATTTTTCTTTGCCTATTCAATAGTAAGAAAATCTACTATCGTCCTGCTTGTCAAATAATCATGCGTCAATTGCAATATTGTTGTTCACTATTCTAATAAACACACGTAGGACTACATAAATGCAGTGCTTCGCACCGCATTAATAACAAGAATAAAGTGGATCTTATAGTGAATATTAGAATATACATAGCTATTTTGTAGTGTTTCTTAATTTGTATTGTTAAGTCATATCAAATCTTAGTTTAATTTATTTTGTGGTGGGCGCTGAAAATAATTATTTGACATAATTAATGCGGTGCGAAGCACAACATTCATGTAGTCCGTCGCGAGTTTTTTTTTGTCTTTAACTTGACGCGTACGCATCAAAATAGTCATTTTCTTGTGCTATGACCTCGGGGTTGAAAAAGCGTAGATAATTCGTTGAAACGTGAGATCGAAGTATCAAGGTCGAACCTTTTACATCTGTTTTCGAATCTTTAAACTGAAATTCCGTTCACTCACAAATGTGGTTCTAAAATGACGAAAATGAAACAAATTTGTTGCGAGATAATTAAAGTGATGTCATCAACATATGTTAGCCACTACAGTCTATTCATTGACAGCTGATCTCAGATAATGAATCATGGATATAATTAATCGATCAATCGAAATCGATCTTTAAGAATGTATCGCTAAGTAAGAATAGAGTTTTCTCAGCGATGAATTTCATCATGTCGACATAAAACATATTCAAGATGACTCTGAATTGTTGAGTTTTCGTGAAGATCCGATTCGAGCTTCGCATCGCATTTCGTATTCGAGTGAAACTTGAATACCATCTAGTTAATGCGGTGCGAAGCAAAGCATTCATGTAGTCCGTCGCGAGTTTCTTTTTGTTTCTTTCTAACTTGAGTACGTATAAAAAATCAGGTTAAGTACCGCGATGATCTAGAGAACCGTAAATGATAGAAAATCCGTTCGAACTAGATATGAGAGTGTAAAGATCGAACTTGTTACATATTTTTTCCAATTTTCAATACTAAGTTTCGTTCGCCTAAAAATCATTTTTTCTCTTTAACTTGACGCATATGCATTAAAATAGTCATTTTTTGCGCGATGATCTCGAGAACCGAAAATCATAGAAACGTTATTCAAACTAGAGGTGAAAATATGAATATTGAACTTGTGGTATTTGTTTCAAAATTTTAATACGATATTTTGTTTGCTCAGAAATATTCTCCCAAAATGACGATTTTGAAAGATATTTTTTCGTTTCAGACTTTCGCGCTAATTAATATGACGTCATCAATAGTTGTTAACCAACAGTCTATTGCTTTACATCTGATTCAAGATAATGATTCATGAAAATAATGAATCGTTCAATGAAAAAAATTGTTAGACAACTGGTTATTACATTTTCAGAGAGATTTCCTAGTGATGAATTTCAAAATGGTCGATTTAAGAATAGTGAATGCGAAATTTTTATTGAAAATTCGTATACGGAAATAAAAAAAAGTAAACGTTTGTAATGAATCTTAAAGTGAATCATTTATTTTTAAATCTTATTCTCGCTACTTTCGAAAATTCGGTTCGTGTGCTTCGCACCGCATTTCGTAGTCGAGTGTAACTCGAATACCATCTAGTTTTGTTTCTTTCTAACTCGAGTACACATAAAAGTTCTAATAAAGTAGCGCGATGATCTTGAGAACTGTTAATGATAGAAAATCCATTCGAACTACATATGAAACTATGGAGGTCGAACTTGTTACATCTTTTTTCCGATTCACAATAGTAAGTTTCGTTCGCCTAAAAATATGATTCCAAAATGAATGTCTTGGAAGGTTTTTATTGTTTGATAGTTTCGCGCTAATTAAAATGACGTCATCAATAGTTGCTAACCAATAGTCTATTGCTTTACATCTGATTCAAGATAATGATTCATGAAAATAATTAATCGTTCAATGAAAAAATTGTTAGAAAACTGGTTGTTACATTTTCGGAAAGATTTCCTAGTGAAGAAAGATAAAACGGTACAAAAATGCATACCTCTTCCGGAATTTATGCTGGAGTGTAAAATAATGAAAAAAGTCACACACACTTCCATGATTTCTCAACAAACAAAAATAATAATAACTACGATATTTTTCCATTGCTGTGGTTGCTCATCAAGAAGTTTGTGTGAATGAATCCTTGAATGTTCAACATGATAAATAATATTATTTTTGCTCAGAGTTCTTCTGCAATTTGAGACTGCGTTTTTCTGAGCTTTGAATAGTACTTCATCAACATCTTCAAGTTTCTAGTGATTAAAACAATAGGAAACACCATTTAATAACCAAATATATCGAGATTTATTCGATAATTAAGCTGTCTAGCTGATATTGTAAAAGTATAGAAATGCAATGACACTGACAAAAAGCAAACTAGATGGTATTCAAGTTTCACTCGAATACGAAATGCGATGCGAAGCTCGAATCGGATCTTCACGAAAACTCGACAATTCAGAGTCATCTTGAATATGTTTTATGTCGACATGATGAAATTCATCGCTGAGAAAACTCTATTCTTACTTAGCA